TAGATAAACGGGTACTCTCACTCCGGTGGGAGGAAAAATGCTGGCGGCGCCTTGCAAAAAGAGTCGGGAGCAGTTGCTGGTAGCGCAGAAGCCATGCTCGCCCAAAAAAGGCGCGAAGCAACGGAAACCCCGCCTCCTTCACCCGTCAGCTGGGCTCTGCTCTAGGAAGGAGGCACTGGCAAACCACTTCCGAAACACCTTGCCTTGAAAACTACAAAAGGACTCATCCAAAAGCAGTCACCGCAGAGTCGGTAACTGAGTGCAGATTAAAAAAAAAACAAACCAAAAAAAGAAGAGGTGAAAGGAAAAGCCACTGACTGAATGTAGCATGATCACATAGTCTAGTTCGGTCCCTATCTCTCAGATTGTCAGCACTTTGCAATTTTGCTTGAGTAGTGATGCTGCTCTTCATTCTTAAGTAGGACAAATACCTTGTCACTTCACATGGCATTCATCTGAATGGTCTCTAGCAGGAGCCAGGCACAAGTTTAGATAAAACCAGTGTTCAGCATAACAAATGATTATTCTCACAAGCAAATAGTATACATTATTTAAGGTAAGAGGAAAATGTGTCTTGCATCCTTTAAAAAATGCTTGTATTTAAGTAATTGAAGTATAAAAACAAAAGCTACAATATTTTTTCCCCCGATACATTGAAACTACCATTTAAATTTACATATATCCAAATGCATGTTTCAGATCAGGCTATGGGTTTAGCACTCAGTCAGGAACACATCACTCCCTTTTTACTTACCAAAATATTACATGTCAGCCTTGCATTACAAGAATGAAAATGCATTACAAGATAGAAACACCTTTTCAAACATTGTATACTGTATTTGATGTTACTTTTACTCACAGTTAGGTCTCTAGCCTGAATCTTTTGCAGATGAATCCCACATAAACCACTTCATTGCATATTCCATTAGATCATCTTGACCCATCTAAATGCTTCAAAATTCTGCATCTGAAAAATCTATGTAAAAAATATTTTAGAACTGTCCTGCAATTTAAAAAGCCCTAGACTACCACATGCTATTGATGATGTCCATCCCTTTGGCAGATTTTTTAAAAAAGGCGGGCTTTTTTCAGTAGGTAAGAGAGTGAGAAAAGGAATAGTTCTTTGTGGTCAGAAGAGTCAATTGCAACTATTCATTTCTCAGGTCTTCACAGAAATGTCTTTATATTATCTGAAATGCATGAAATTAAAAGAAAAATGTTATGGTATCAGTACACATCAGAGAGATAGAGAAAATAGAAATATTACTGTATGTTGTACAGCAAACCTTTGCTCCCTTTCAATTATTAACTTTTATAACACGTATCTCTACAGGTCTTCAACTAAGTCAATATTCGATCCCTACTTCCTTCATTTTCATGTCTTCAAAATTCTGAGTTCCTTCTTGGCAACAGTTCCAAACACTATTGTCTCCATTGCTTCAAACTGAAAGAGAATGAAATGGATCAGACAAAAAACCTATTGAATCCAGTATCCCTTTCCTCATGATGACCAGCTAGAGGGCTGTGGAAGGTGCCCAGATTGGCCGTCTTGCAACGTGGGCTCCCCAATTCTAAGCAAAGTGCAGCTGATGCTGGAGGGAGCAACTACCTACCAGTGACTAAGACTGGATGCATTGTAGTCCACCAATACCAGCTCTACTATGTTAGGCCTCAATAAAACCTTAGCAGAATTCAAGCAGAGGTTCGGGGATGCACAGCCCATTAGGCATTTTGACACATTTCTGCTGGTCCTAGAACTTGTAGATTGGACTTTAACACAAGCACTGACTGTGCCCCCTCTTTCTTTTACCTTTCCTGTCCTTATGGAATTATTTTCCTATGCAGGTTCCCAAATTTCTTCCTTAGATCTCAGAAGGACACAGACTACAGTTCATTGTTCTGTCATTACCAAGGATAGATTAAATTTTCCTACAATTTATCTAAATGACCAGGTTTGGGAATTTCATTACAAAACATTGTTATTGTAGGTATACATAACAGTGCTATGTGTGATTGGAGCAGTCCATAAGCCTTGTAACACACACACACACACACACACACACACTGTATATACTGTATATACTATATATATTAGAATTTGTTATCTGCCTATGTTTTACCCTTTATATTTGTTATTTTATCTTATCTATTTAATAATAATAATAACAACAATAATAAAGATAAATAAATAGCAAAGATAGTACCAATAGGCACCTTAGGTGTATTTTAAAAAAATCTGGAGCACCAACTGAAGATCATCGGCATTGACAAAATCACCATCAGTCAATTGCAAAAGGGAGCTTTACTTGGAACAGCTTACAACCTGAGACAATACCTTTGACATCATCAAACAACAACATCTGCTTACCCCAGGTCTTTGGGAAGGACTTGATAGGTGGATAAAAATGCAAAATCCAGCCTAAACATCTGGTTGACTATTATGGTTGGTAAACCATAATAATAATAATAATAATAATAATAATAATAATAATAATAATAATAATAATAATAATAATAAT